CCCCTCATCCCTGCTGCTGCTGCTGCTGCTCCTGCCACCGCTGCTGTTGCTGCTCCGCTGATTGCTCCTCCCGATGTCCCCAGTGCAGCAGGTGTGAGGAGGCTTAGCACTGGCTACATAAGTAACACAAATTAGGATGTGACATGTAAGCTGCACTGTCTAGCACATGGAACTCACCAAACCAGCAGCAGGCTGGGTGGGACCTGGGAGGGTGCCGTCTCACAACTTGTTCAAATTTGCACTTACACATGTTGCTGCAAAGAGTAAAGGGCGTCCTGAAATAGGGTGCAGCTTCCACAACTGCATTCCCAAGGAGGATCATGGAAATGTTTCTACAGATCATTGCTTTCTTGAAACTCAAAGGGTTGGGAGTGAAAACGGGGGGGGGGGAACCCACCAAAAAATGCCTGCAAAACTCCAAGGGGTCCAACTTTCCCCAGCCACAAAGTGGAGGAGCGTGCACTGCCTGCTGCCTCTATGGTGCTGCCTCGCCCTTTCTTCTTTTCTAGCAGTTTGGCTTCCCTGTTAATTGTTTTTTATCAAGAATTTGGTGTGAGCACTGGCCCTAAATTGAAGTCTTTTACCTTCTGTTTCTTCGTTATTGTGCAAAAGCATCCCAGTGTCATGCCCTTTTTTTGGAAAACTGGGTTTTGTAACATAACAAGAAAAGGCAAACTTCTCTTGGCATTCACTGTTCCCTCTGCAGATTTGCGCTTTTTTCTGCCTTTTTTTTAAGAACGTACTGTTTAAGAAGGCAAACACACAGGTAATTTAAAATGCAGCCTGCAACTTTAAACTAGAAGCTAAGCTTTATAACCCATTCTTTTGCTGCTTTACCATGCTCCCAAAGGGGCACAGAACATTCCAGATGTTTTGCAAATGCAAATGCTTCACTCTTTACAGCATCAATGCTCTTCCCACACTTCTACCTCCTGCTCAGATACCATCAACATTTGTTTGATTGCTTCCCCTTTATTTTGGGATTTAAACACTATAGCTGGTGTTTTTAGAGCTGCTGGTGGAATTCATCTTCCATGCACCCTTCACTGAGTATCACAGGGTTAATTTTAATTAATGTTCATGTGTGGTTAAAATCTGCTGTACAGCCCTGAAACATCAGCCCACAATGTGGAAGAGACGGCAAGTGCCAAACGGAACACTTGGCTAGAAATCAAATAGAAATGCTATTAGGGATACATGCCTTCTCCTCTGGAGCTGCCCCTTCGGTGCTCCATTGATGCAACATCGCTTCGCTGTAGTCCGGTATCGCAGCAAATCCCTTTGCTCCTGAGCCGCAGGGACACAGCAGCAGTAACAGTGGAATAACTACAGGGAAACAGAATTTTGCCATTAAATACATGATGATTAGGGTCAAAGCATGCTAACAGCCAGTACCGAAGTTTGGTCAGCTCTCCTACTAAAACATATCTTCAGTGAGCTAGTGATCAGTATGAGGGCTGACAAATACTGAAGACACGTTCCCAAATATTTAAGGTATTTCCTAGAAACATGCCAGGATGGTTTCCTAGAGAGTAAACTGACAATTAACCTGTCACAGCCTCAATCCTGGAGATGACCACATGTGTATATAGCTATACTTCTATCAAAGATCTCGTATACCAGAAGCAAGCCCTAAATATCACTGTACAACCCCAGCATTTCTAACTCCTCCTGGCATGGCATCATGTAAATTCCACCTCACCACTCCTGTGACACATCTAGATCATTGCCTGGGGAATACAAACCAATCCCATTTCAGGAGCAGAGCATATTTGTGTGGCATGAACTTCCGTTTTGCCACAGCTAGATTGCTACTAGTACAAGCAATAAACTATCGCCATTTTAAATGCAGCACGGGTACACATGGCCATACCCGGAACTAAAAGCATTCCTCTCTTATTTTTGAGCTTCTATTTTGTCTTACCAAAGAACAACATCACGTGCTGCTTAGAGCAAGGTACCAGACCTGGGTCTGCAGTGAAGGAGAAGAGAGTGGAAAAGGCGCCGTGGTTTGAGTGGGAAGAGTTAGGTTCACATGGGGAGGTGTGGGAAACACCAAAAGGATTCCTTACTGCTTCCCCACCTGTTATTTACAGCGCCATAACCAGATATTAAAGTTGTACATATTAGTTTTAAAATACACAGAGCCTGAAATCCTTTGAGGGTGAAATGCTGATGTTACCAAAATTAGTTGGGGATTTGCCATGACTTCACACAGACTTAGGAGTTTACACAGAATATATCAAGATGATAAAACCTGGGAGCCAGACTGTTTCTTTCCTGATGCCTTGCAGACCGTATTTACAGTGCCTTCTGAGGTAATACGGAACAATTACTTACGCAGCAAAAGTAAAAACGCCAAGATGATCAGTGCAACCGCTCCTGGTCCCAGACCTGCTGACTTAGCACCAATAACTTTACTGTTGCATGTGCCGTCAGCCTTGCACTTACAAACATGCAGGTGCAGAGACTGTGCTTGAGCACAGCTGAACCCTTGTAAATCCTTTATTAGGATGGGAACTTCAGTTCTGCCCAGCTTCAGGTTTTGTGGTACCAGTTGTATGCTGGTGCCTGAGACAGAAGGGGGGAGTTAAAGAAAAAGAAAAGACAAACAAGAATAAGTGGAGAGAAAGTTGACTCCTGTAAATTAAGGGAAATAAAATCTTCACAGTCTCCCCACAAGCCCCCTCCAGTTAAGTCCAGCCAACACAATAGAATTAAGTTTAATTAGCTGCGGCTACAGCATACGTGCTCCTATTTTTATCAAGTAATTCATGCTGGTAACAAAGCAGCCATGCTCACTTGCAGTCTCAGATACTTGCAAAGAGTTTCACACCAGCATAGACTTATCATGGAAGATGGCCCAACCGCCTATATAGTGTTAACCTTCACATCATCTTCATAACTAAAGGCTGAATTCGTAAAAACCAGTTTCAGTCTTTAGGAGATTAATCTGTTGTTGGCCACAGGCAGAGGCTGAGGAGCCAACATATCACCTGCTCCTGTGGCTGTATCACATCAAGGACACAACTGCAGGGTGAGGGAAGCTAAGAAGATTCCTTCATGGTCCTAAACCTGGCCATTAAGATGACTCTGCTGATTGCTTTGCACTGTTATGCTGTAGGATTACAGAGGACAGAATAATGAGTCTGAGAAGAAAAATATGTTTTCTGGTGCCTTCAATCTACCTGAAGCATATTCTTCAAGCATATTCCAGGCTTACATGAACAGAAATATAAGAAGAAGATGCTCATCTCATTTTGAAATACTCATTAAAATTATTTATGATTTCTGACTTATTTTTGTTCCTACCGTGCTGGACAATATCTTACACAGGTTATACTGTATTTCCCCTTTTCAAGGCCCACTGTGCAGACAGATTTATTTAGTTATTTGTAAGTTAGGGCAACTGCAGCCAGTAACACAACCATGTCGCCAAGCTCCATTAGAACAAAAAGCATCCTCCACCACTGCACGCTTTTTGTGGGAAGATGAGAATGGCTTGATCCCAGCATTACCCATGAAATCCTGGTCACCACATATGGGTCATCAAGCTAGGCAAAGATGGCCCAACTGAGGGAAGGCAACAGGCCCCAGAAGACCTGGCTGTGCTTTTATAGCCATTGGACAGAAGGAGCAGAACGCGAGTGATGTGTCTTCATGACTGACTCCATACATATGGGTTTTTTTGGTCTGTATCAGCCAAACTGTCAGTTTGACTAGAATTAACAAATTATAACACTAGGACTCTAAAGAACTGAAAGGAATTAAAAATCTATTTTCTTACCATTTCTAGATGCAATTATCCATTCTTTTGCTGTCCCTTCTGGCTCATCAATGACAGTAAAGCTGAAGGGATCACTGTTTGGGTAACCATCCAAATCATTAGCTGTAACATCAACTAATTTTGCATCTGAACACACAGTCCGCACAGGGTTCACAATAACTGGGCAGTTATCATTCTCATCTTTAACTTGAATAATGACTGTGCCGGTGACCGTTTTCTTCGGAAAATCTAATATTTTAAAATATGAAAAATTAAATTGATTTGAAAAGTACAAAAATTTCATCTTAAAATAAAAAAACCCTTAATATTCTTAATATTTTCCAAAACACAAACATTGCTGAAATAAGTTGAAAGAGCTCTCCCTGGAGCTTATGGGAGCAGTATTTCATTCCTAATGTTAATAAACATATTGACAAAGTTCTTCTGAAGGCAAGCTGGTTTACTATTTTAACTGGGAAAAAAAAAAAGTATTTCCTGTGTATGGTTACACAGTAACATGCAGATTATAAAAGGAGAATTCTCATTAGATACACAAGAAATTCAGGAAGTCTTTCTTGCTTAGCATTCAAGAAAACTTAAGACTCTGAAGTCTACCGATTAGCATACTGAGATACTGGCAATTTCCACCTTGACAAGGGACGTTCCGATCAGACTTGGCCTTTGCAAAACTTTTACAAGAAGTTCACTTCCATCTAGTCAAAGAAGCGAAAACAGGCACCTTGGGAACCCATTCCAAGATTCATCCTATTTCAACGTGTTGCTCGTGTCTCTCCTCCAAATACAGAGCCTATAGGAAACTGCACTAGGTGCCTAATTTTAGGCAGTTAAAGATAAGGAGGTTAAACCAACTACAGTTGTAGAAAGGCAAACTAAACCCTAAACAAACCAATTAGTGTGAAAACAAAACCCTCTCAACTTACCAGTAGTTACACCCAACACGGTGATAGTGTAGGTACCATTTACTACATGATGCGATTCATAATCGAGTGTTTTGGCAAGTCGGATTTCAGCTGTGGCTGAGTCTATTGTGATCCAGTTTGCTGTATCCCTTCCTTTCATGTATCTGATTAAAATTGTATATAAATATGTACACATTTATGATGAGGAAAACAACCATCAGCAGAAAAAGCAGCTTCACGGTATGTTTACTCTTTGTTTAAAGCAGAGAGAAAATCCCTAGGTCTGAGGTGTGACACTCCTGCCACTGGGATTGATTTCAACTATAAACCTAAGATTATAAACCCACCCTGAATGTTGAAACCTGCTGTTCCCTCTAGAGCCAGGATTTAGGTGTGGAGGCATTGTAACAAGTAGACTCAGGGAGCGAGACCAGAGCAGGAGAAGGATCTGCGCTGCTGGTCATCGTCCTCTTCTCCTCCATCCCTGCTCCCAGCAGAAGGTGAGCAGCAGCCACCCAGGAGAGACTGTATTACAGCCGTGGCAGAGCGGGGTCCACCGCTGGGTACGCACCTCTGCTGGTCTGCACCACTTGTAAAAGCCACGGTGGTGGATCAACAATGTTTTAGCTGAAGAGCTACGATTCAAAATCTGAACACACACAGGCACACATACAGATCTACTTCACACCCTTTCTGTGTCCAATTGCTGGATGTTTCTGTATATTTATTCCTAATGTTTCTGCACACAATGAAGTCAGAAGAGTAAATCTACTCTCAAAAGCAGACAGGCATGATGAAGTCAGATGAGTAAATCTACTCTCAAAAGCAGACATGCATGACAAACAGCATTCAAGCGCGGACTATTTCAGCACAAACACTCATGTCTCACCATATATGACCAAACAAGTAGGATTTTCAAGTCAGCTATTTTCTGCATAATAGAATACTGAAGATGATGATGTTATTTTAGGTGTGAATTATGTGTAGTAGAAAACAATTGCCTCTGAAATTATTTGAGTTCAATATACACATTGTTACAGTAAGATGTGATTTCTGACATACTCAGTTATGATGGTTATAAACAGATTCTTACATAATGCGCTCTGCTATTTTTCCGGTGTCTTCATCATAGGCTTGATACTGTCCAATAACCTCTCGTATCTGTAGTTTCTCACTTGCTTCAATAATTTTTGTGCCACCGGGGAATACAGGGCCTTCCCGCACATTAATCACATTAATTTTGATTGGAATTGTTTGTGCTTTATAACTGTGTTTAATTGACTTGTGGAACTCTGCTTTGTTTGTAACAACAATGCCCAAATTTAGGCTTTGAATTTTTTCATAATCCAGTTCCTAAAGCAATTAAAAAAAACAAAACACCACTCAGAACTTGACAGAATCTGATATCGAGACAACATTCATACATTTAATATTTAAATAAAACTATTTAATATTGTAGCACCCTTATTTAAATAATAAGGATACTACAGTGCAAAGAACTGTTGGTTAACATGTTATGCTCAATACATAATGCTTCAACTCTTTAAAAGTACATAAGGAAGATTACTCTTCTTATTTTTAATGGATGGCACCATAGGTATGTCTTTATATTATTGAATTTAAATTAATTTAAGGTAGGTGCAATGACTCCTACACATACAGGTCTTTACTTTCAGTGAATCAAGGCTCAATAATACTTGGCTCATCCAATTTTTTCTTTTTTTATTTTTTTTAAAAGCAATTAATTTACTTAATAATGCTTATCAATTTTTTAAAATTATCAGTTTTCAGGTAAGGAAACCAGAGCAGAAAAAAAAAAGAAAAAGGGTACTCAGGGCACTATGCATCTTCAGTTCTTGTGGACTAAAGGGGAGTGAAATTCATAAAACAGGAATTTCAATTTATGGAAAATATTTTCATAATTTCAAAGTACAGAAATTCATAAAATAGTCTGTAGCCCATGGCTCATGGAGTAAGTGTTGCCTTTAAAGTTATCCGTGGCCATGGGAAATAAAAGAAATTTAAACTGAGACCAGCAAGGAGAGAAAAAAGTATGGGGAAGTTTACAGCATATGTGTTAGCACTGTTGCCCAACAACAAGGAAAGTTTGGGGACTTCTGCCCCAGTAGATACATTTGAGATCACACTGAATGTAAATGGTAAGCCTAGAAAAAAATTATTATTTTGCACGGAATTATTGAATACACCAACAAAGAATATGCCAAAGGATGAGTGTCTACCATGTAAATTTACAGTTTACATACTACCTGAATATAAATAATTTGTATGTCAACTTAAAGGGAATAATTATTCTAATATTTAAAGAAGACTCTCTAAAGAATATACTAACCTTCACAAGAGTCAAAATTCCTGTATTTGTTTGTTTGTTTGTTACTATACGAAAAAAGCCGTCTTCGTTACCAGAAACAAATGAAAAGTTTGCCAGCCAGTTATCAGAAAATTCTTCATCTTTGTCAAATACTTTTATTGACAGAATTTCTACATTTGCTTTGTTTTCTTCAACGCTTCCTTCAAACTGCAATTGAAAAACATGCTTCTTTAAAAAGATACCATGATTTACCTCATTTCACCAGTGCAAGAAAGTTTGCACAACCCTGTATTCAAAGCAATAGGATACTGGCAGGTGTAGGAACATGCCAAATATTGTGATCAATGTACTTACTACACGATTTTCAACCACAGGCAGATTGTCATTGACATCCAAAATCTTGATTTCTAAAGAACATGTTGCAGCATTCCCATCTAATTCACCACCACGGTCTTTTGCTTCCACCACCAAAGAATAGCTACTTTGTATCTGCCACGATAAGAAAAGAAGTGTTTAAACCAGGCTAAAAAACTTTTCCTTTGCTGTATTATCTCTACTACATTTTGGTAATCCCTCTTGTGGCCAGTTGTAACTCCTCTCGAGCCAGTAATAAATCTCACACACAACTACCTTGACGGGCTCAGCTGGAGTAGAAGCGAGGCTTTGAAAAGGATTTGGGACTTTTGCATCTCCCCCACAAAGAGTTAGACTGTACTTACATGGCAAATGAAAAAATTTCAGTAGCCATAAGTAGGGACAGGACCAATGAATGATACCTGCATGTCAGGACAGGGCTAGAATCAGAGATGTTGCCCTCAGCCGCAGAGCTAACATCCAGATCACCATCTGCTGGCCAGTGAAAATTCATGCAAGCCCAGGTAAAGTGGCTTTCAACGCTGTTTCACAGCAGCACCCATCCTAACTCTTTGCACCGTGATTTGCATAGCAGGCTACAAAAATCTAGATGCAGTCAGCAGCTTTGCAAACGGTGATCTGGGTTGCCTTTGCCATATGCTCTCCAGCACAGAGAAATGACCCCTTGCTTCATGTAACTGCTGCCCTGGCTGCATGGGAGGGACAGAAAGCAACAGCCATTGGGCTGATGCTGTGCTAGAGAGGTGACAGGGGGAATGCAGCCTTGATCCTGTCACTGCCTGCCCCCCGTCCAATCCCCAGAAAACATGCATCAGCCAGACAAGGCTTTAATCCTACAGAAGGTGAAGGAAGGTAAGAGGGCCAGCTCTCCAGCCTGGCAGGCAGAGCTGAAGGTGACACAACAGGCATCAGAAGGCGGCTGTTAGCAGATTAAAAACGGGAGGGCTTCTTTTACCTCTCTGTCAAGGTTTATTTTTGCTACTCGAACCTCGCCAGTATCCTTATTCATACTGAATGCAGCGCTAGGGCTTTGGGAAACGATCCTGAAAGCAATTTTGGAATTTAGGTTATTTGGTTCATCTGCATCTGTTGCATTTATCCTCATTACAACTGTACCTGGAAAAAAGCAAACAAAATATAGTATGTTTACACTGCCATCCACTGCCAAGTATTTTTACTGTAATGTCACAGATAAAGAGACTGTTGTCAGACACACTACACAATTTTCTGATGCTCTTGCCTCTATTTACTTAATGAATAGAGCTGAAGAAGCGTTCCTAAAAATCCAAATAGCACATGTTAACAGTATATCCTCTAGCAAACAAAAAGATTGTATCCACACATCTGTAACTCACAGAACTCAATGCACCAGAATCACAGAACAGGTTGAATTCTCTCCAAAATTCTGACAGAAAAATGTATATACCATACAGAGAAGAAAGAAGTAGGTTTTGAACAAGCTGCATTTCCCTCACAGATTATTCTAAAGGGAGCACTAACTCCTCTACCTGAACTTTATTAAAATAATTGCTCTGTATTGATGCCCTCCAACAGCTTCACTCAAAATACATTGCGGTCCCCATGGTGCAATCCCCTTATAACTCATGGTACAGGATTTTGTTCTCTGGGAAAGGGTGTACCTCAGCGTCCAGTGCCTGAGTTTGAACATTACCTGGAATTCAGGCAAAGAAGCAATTACCATACAGGTGACACTGACTTGAAAGAGAGCTGAGGGAACTCAATACCTCACCCAAGCAGTGGGTCAATAATTTGGTTCTTCAGATTATCATGACATTGAAAGGGAAACAATGTCAGGTATTTATTACATTGTTTTACTCCAGCTTTTCTTATCTGCTGGGAAATAATCTGTTGGTCTTACGTTTACTGACATCAATAGGAAAACTGCCACTAGCTTGTTCTTCGAGGGTCACATCATGGCCATATGTGCTTAACGGTGAAGTACCTCTCCAGCCCACAGATAAAGAGGGGCTTTTCATGAGCATGGCAGAGTGGAGTCCCTCCAAATAGGCTGGAATTGCTAGGCCAGAAGGTAGACTGCATTTCC